ACTTCCCAGGAGCCCCCTCACACTGGAATTAGGCTTGAACATCCCTGGAGATCGGTCATCCTTAGAAGTATAGTCATTCACTAATTTCTTGCCCAAGCAGAACAATTCATTGAACTGGAGTGAGCTTCGCCATAGCCTTGCCAAGAGGAAATTCAAATATTGGAGCCCTTTACTTCTAGGTGGAAGAAAGAGAAAACAGTGAGCATACCTTCTCCATGCCTTCCTTAGGATTTCAATATGAATGATTCCAAGCCCCTCACCATGACTCTACTGTAAGAACAGCTTGCAAATTGCCAAACCTTCCTGGATCTTTGAGCAAATAAACATTATTACATTTGTCAGGTTTGCATAATTAGGTGCTGCTATTTACAAGGGTTTCTACAAATTGAACAAAAAAGGAGGCATGTTAATATACAGGTGGTCCTCAACTTACTAATGAGGTGTGTCCTAAAGATTTATAAGTAAATGATTTGGAACTTGGAATGCTTTCTTCCATAGAAACTGCTATATATGTGGTGGTCGGGTTTCTAGCTAGTCCACAAAGGCTGATTTAACCCACATGGAACAGTTATATTAGAATTCTGGTGAGAGTCCTTGGTCCTGAGAACAAAATGACAAGTGTGCTTTCTTCTTGTTTTTTTACGTCTAAGGGAAATTCAAAGAAAATGTTTAAAAGAAGTGGAATCTAACTGACATATTCACCACTGTACTTATTTTTACTCTTCTCCCATATCCCAGGGATCCGTTGCTATTGGGTTCACCCAAGCACATACCACTCTAACCTTCTGCTCTTTAGAACCACCAACTTCCTCATTTCTTCCTGTCTTAATCCAAATGAAGCTTCCAAGTTCTCCTGAACAGCTAGTTTAGCTCACCATCATCAAGATATTGGTGATTAATCACTTTTTACACTCCAAAAGACATATCTATGATTAAAAGAGGTGGCTTGTCAGTCTTAAATTGACTTCAGTTGGTAAAATTTAGGGACAGTAAGAAAATAAAGTGAAAAGCAGGTTTGGAAAATGGTGACTATTTGGAGACATGATGTGTGAGCTACTGGGCCAATAGCAGAGCGCTGCCTAATCAGTTCACCAAAGCTGTGACTCCTTTCCAAGCAGATTTTCTTCCTCCATGTCTGACCCCACAGGGCTGCCCAAAGATTTTAGTTTTTTCCTCCAAAGGCTCCCATGATGGTGTCAGCAGCTCAGAGCCATTCACAGGTTTTGTGGGGCTTTGTAAGTTGAGTCTATCCCAATAATAGTTGGCTTATAAATTCACAGAAAGTTGGAAGCATTCTGGAATAGCTGATATTTCTGGATAACATTAACATAGGACATATAATGAGAGGTGTCTGAGAGCTCATGGATTTAGGCCAATCCCTCTGAAATTTGTCAAGGATGCTCTTTTGGGGAATTTTTGTGATTTGCACAGGCCACCAAGGCCATTGTGACCAATTAACATGCTGATTAAAGCACAAGTACTAATGAGGCCAAAATCAGAGGTTGAATCCCCTCTTGGGCCAGCAGCTTCAATGTTTCATATAAACACAGTCCACAGAAGCTGGCTCTCTGTCAAGGTGGTCCAGATGAATGAGTTTGTAAATGGCCTAAGCTACATCCATCTGCATGCCAGGAAAGTACTACCAGCCATAGAGCCAATGATGGTGACTCAGTTACAGCATCTCCTGTAGTAAACTCCAATGTATTCTTCTTTTAAAAAAATATAGTTATAGATAGACAGCATGCCTTTATTTGTTTAGTTTTCTTATGCAGTGCTAAGAATTGAACTCATGCTAGGCAAGCACTCTGCCACTGAACTACAGCCCCGACCCTCCAATACATTCTTAGGAATGGATGTGTTCATATACAGTATCTTCAATGCCTACACCATCCTGACAAAAGGAAAATCCTCTAAGAGCTTCCAAACTCTTCCATCACACACACACACACACACACACACACACACACACACACACACACTGTGTGGGTCTGTGACTGAAGGTGTCTCTGTGTTTTTCAACCCACAGGAAATAATGTTTCTAGAAGTTAGATGGTTGTGTGTCTCAGCTATTTATCTGCTTATGTTGGTCAACAGGAAAGAACAAAGCAAGATCCCAGGTGGCAGGGTGGCACAGAGCGGTGCCAGAAGCCTTTCTTCCTTTCTGTATACCTGTGATTGTTGCAGAAATGAAGATGTACAATGAAGTCACAGAGAGTTGACTAAGTCCACAGAGGCTAGTGAGAGAATAGGAAATGTGTGAATGCCTTTGGTAGTTGCTGCTAGTATTGTGATTATTCTGGACCATGATAGAGAACAAAGGAGTAGGAGGTGTGAAGATGTCTTGACATTTACCTTAGAATCCTATGATATGTGGATCAAGGATAAGTAGAGGAAGAAATGGACTTTAGGGTCAAAGTTTCCATGGAAGAGAGAATAAGCTACAAAGATAAATAATAGAGTAAATACTGAAAGGAATATCAGAGATGAATCCGCTGAAAGAGAAATTAGAAAAACTACCCCATTCACAATAGCCTGGAAAAAAAACTGGGAATCAGTCTAACAAAAGAGGTGAAATACCTCTACAATGAAAACTACAGAACACTAAAGAAAGAAATTGAAGAAAACCTCAGAAGATGAAAAGATCTCTCATGTTCCTAGATAGGCAGAATTAATATTGTCAAAATGGCCATACTACTAAAAGTGTTATACAGATTTAATGCAATTCCTATTAAAATCCCAATGACATTCTTCATAGGAATAGAAAAAGCAATCATGAAGTTTATTTGGAAAAATAATAGCCCCAGAATAGCTAAAACAATCCTCAGCAAGAAAAGTGAAGCAAGAGACATCACAATACCAGATCTTAAACTATACTACAGAGCTATAGTAACAAAAATGGCAGGGTATTGGCACCAAAATAAACTTGCAGACCAATGGTACAGAAGAGGACACAAAGACAAACTCACATAAATACAGTTATCTCATACTAGACAAGGGTGCCAAAAACATTTACTGGAGAAAAGATAGCCTATTTAACAAATGGTGCTGGCAAAACTGGAAATCTATATGTACCAAATTGAAATTAAACCCTTATCTCTCAGCCTGCACAAAAAAAACAACTCAAAGTGGATCAGAAGAGAAACACTGTGCCTTATAGAAGAAAAAATAGTCCCAAATCTTCACCACATTGGCCTAGGATCTGACTTCCCTAACAAGACTCCTAAAGTGCAAGAAGTAAAATTAAGAATCAATAAATGGGATGGATTCAAATTAAAAAGCTTCTTCTCAGCACAGGAAACAATTAATAATGAGAAGCAAGACCCTTTAGATTGGGAGAGAATCTTTACCACATGCACCTCCAATAAAGCATTGATCTCTAAGATATATAAAGTACTTTTAAAACACCAAAACAAACAAAACAAACAAACAAACACAAACAAATAATCCAATCAATAAATGGGCTAAGCAACTCAACAGACACTTCACAGAAGAAGAAATACAATTGATCAACAAATATATGAAAAAGTGTTCAACATCTCTAGCAATTAGAAAAATGCAAATCAAAACTACTCTAAGATTTCATCTCCTATTAGAATGGCAATCATCAAGAATATAGGCAGTAAATAAATTTTGGCGAGGATGTGGTGAAAAAGGTACACTCTTATGTTGTTGGTGAAACTGCAAATTGGTGCAACTATGGAAAGCAGTATGGAGGTTCCACAGAAAATTGGGAATGGAACCACCATTTGACCAAGCTGTCTCACTCCTTGGTTTATACACAAAGGACTTAAAATCAGCATACTACAGTGATGCAGCTACATCAATGTTTATAGTAGCTCAATTCACAATAGCTAGACTATGGAACCAACCTAGGCATCCCTCTATAGATGAATTGATAAAGAAAATGTTATATATATACACACACGTACACACACACACACACTCAATGGAATATTACTCAGCTTAAAGAAGATTATGGCATTTGCCAGTAAATGGTTGGAGTTGGAAAATATCATGATAAGGGAAATCAGCCAATCCCACAAAACCAAAGGCTGAATATTTTCTCTAATATGCGGATGCTAATTCACAATAAGGTGGGGGGCACTAGGGAAGAATAGCATTACCTCAGATTAGGTAGAGGGAAGTGATGGGAGGGGAGGGGAGGGGATGTGGGGATAGGAAAGATAGTAGAATGAAACAGACATTATTACCGTATGTATATGTGACTTCATATTCTGCAACATATACACTCAGAAAAATGGGAAATTATATCCCATCTATGTATGATATATCAAAGTACATAAATGCATCCTACTGTCATGTATAACTAATTAAAACAAATTTGAAAAGTTTTAAAAATATGAGGAGGTGATACTACTTGATAATTAGATGATTATTGTTGTCTCAGAATCATCTCATCCTAGTATGGGAAGAGGGATGGGGAAAATCACCCTGAATCCAAGTCAGGCTGTCAAAGAATTGCCAGTCTTTATTTTGGTTGGCAGTACCAACCTTGGAAGGGATCAGACAGTGCCTCCAGAGGAAATGACATAAGCATCCCCTAAGATGGTCTTGCCAATAGATTGCAGGAAAAGGAGGTAGTCTCAGTACCACCGAGTTGCCTAGATAGATAGTAAGTCTCTGAAGACCTGACGTGGCTCACCATGTGGCCCAGATGCTCAGCAATGGGAAAAGCAGGTGCTCCTGCCTGAAAACTGGATAACAAGGCCAGTCTTGTTAGCATTCAAATGTGTTATCAGTGCAGAAGGCAAGGGTTTCTCTCTGACCAGGGCAGCCAACTTCCCTCAGGTGTAGCACACTCTGTAACAGGCCTCCCCAGAACAAGGGTTTTGCCCAACTCAGTGGAGCTTGGAAGTTCACCAGCTCCATCACATTCTGCCAAACAGAGTGAAGGTTGAGACTGGCACATGTGCCAAAGGGAGCCCCAGCTTTGAAAATTTGACAAGTTCCTGTGCTCTGTTTTCCTGCTGGCCATTACCTTATGGCTTGTTTCTCACCAACTGATTTCTGCTTTTCTTCTTTGGAAGGCTGCAATCTCTGATGGTTTCAGGCCATGGCCCACTTGCCTGCAGGGTGAAGAGAGTGTGGCAGACTAGGGAATAGGAATAGGAAAACTCTGATTAAGTGTGAACTCCACTTACCCATCTCTGCACACTGGTGGGGGCATAAGAAGAGGCTTCATGAAGCCTTTCTTTCCAACCAACCAGAAGGTCTCCTCTGTGCATTTGCCCTTATTATAGACAAAATGGGGGGGGGGGCATTATATTCAATTTTCCTAAAAAGCCCTTCTGATCAGTAGGGTACAGACATTCATGTTAGCTCAGAAAATGCCTGTGATTTTCCCTTGTCACCATTCCCTGGAGTCTTCTTTTCTACATATTTTTCTTACCTATTGCTCAGGAAAGCTATTGTCTACTCTATGTAAAGTATATGCCTTCAGAGTCTACTTTTTATTGCATCCAGCCATCTGATGGTTTTCACAAAACATACAAAAGTAACAGAAATGGAAAATAGGCTATGCAAAAAACTTGTTTGGTTGCCTTGAGAAGTCTTTTCTTCCAACTTATGGGATTCTTATGGGTATGACAAGATCACAGGGAGGCTTTCATTAGATACTTATAAGGAATCATAGGTCTGAGGACAGAAAAGGAGAAAAAACCCAAGCTAATTCCCCCAGGCCTGCATGATGACATCAGAATAATCAAATTTTCTCTCTCTATTCTGCCCTCTCCTCTTTCTAGTACACTTTCCTCTTAATGTGCTTTTCTCTCCTCCTTTCAGTTCTCTTTTGATCGTACTCTCACTTCCTCTAGTCCATAAGAAAAAAAAATGTGTTTACTAAGACTGAGAAAAGTAATGGTATGTGTTTCCAAACCATTAATCTGAAATATGGTCTCACTCTCAGCAGCTCTCATTTGGAACAGTTCTAAATTGTTTAACTTAGCAATTTCAATTAGATTTGCCCCCTGCACACATCAAATCCACTGTTCCCTATTTTACATCACATGTATTCTTCCCTTAATAATAAAGATGATAGTCATAATAATAAGTGGCACATTTCACTGGAGAATCTCAAAGCATTTTGCAAATATTTGGTTCAAGATTTGGAACAAACCCTCTATTAGAAAACTAGAAAAGAATGTCACTGTAGCCCAATTCCCCTTAACTGGTAACCAACTCACCCTAAAACTCAGATAATAGGGTAAATATATTCAGGACTACTCTGTTTTTAGAAGAAGTGAAAAATCTTGAAAATATACTCCATCACTCATACTTGCATTTATTTTGCCCTTCCTGTACTAGTGCCGGGATTATAGAGATGACCCAGTCCTTAAGCAGCAAACAATTGCATTTAAAAAATAACTATTGGGCCATCTTTTGGATTCTAAATCCATTAAGTCCAACTCTAAAGCTCTTTCTTTACCTCACAGTACCTAGTAAAGTGTCTTGTACAGACAGTAGCTCAATAAATAATCAGAGTGTTCCATTAACTGGAAACCTCAACCCCTGAACACTTTGAATACTTAAGAATCATTGGACTTCATTTTGGTAAAACATACTATTAAAACTCAAATTCGAGTATCCTACCCCCATTCATATTTGACTGTTTGTCTTGAGATCCAGAGGCCACTAGAAAAACATGCCAATTTTCAAGCGAATTTTGTAGATTCCAGGATTATACAGAGACTTGGATGGGTCCTGGGACACACTAAGATGCCAAAACTGGTAGTTGCAAAAGATGGGAGTGTTATGGGCTCAGGCAAGCTTCCAAATCAAAGTATTCAGGGGAGCTCTGGGGGTACTCTGAGGTTTTGGAACTCAACCAGGAGAATTCTTAGAATCCTACCTCTCTGTTTACCCACTCCACTTCCATAATTCTTCAGAAGACAGGGAAGAAGGGAAACAAGTGTGGCAACAACTGAAGCCTAAAGCAAACTCTTTGACCCAATATCAGTCCCTGGGCAGTCCCAGAGACCTCCCAAATAATAACAGTTTGTTTTGGCACAACGATTTTAAAAGATTTTGGCTCCTCTTGTCCTATTTAATCCTCAGATTCTGGAAGGTAGTTTTATTATTAAATTCATTTTACAAATGGAGGCACTGAGGTTCATGGAGATTAAAAGACTTGTCAATCCACAGGCATAGCTGGAACTTGAATCCAAGCCTACTAGACTTCAAATTTTAAATGTTCTTCCATCCACACCACATAGCTTCCCCAACACACTGGGGTCAAGGGGCAGGTCTAGATGCCAAAAAACAACTGTTGGGAATTTTAAAGGTCATGAGATTAATGGGTTTCCTGATAATCACAGGTCAGAAGAGGCCTCTATGTAGACAAACAGAAGCACAGAGAGGATAAAGTTACTTGTCCAATGTCACACACTGAGTCATTGATAGGGCAAGAATTAGAGACCAGACCTTATGACCTTCATGAATCTGTCAATACAACCTCTTTATTTCTTAGCTCAATTGCTGGTGTGTGTTTGTGTGTGTGTGTGTGTGTGTGTGTGCGCGCACACGAGTGTGCACGGATGTGCAAGCATGAGGGGGTTGAATAAGGGTGGGGTGGAAGAGAGAGGGAAAAGAAGAAAAATCACAAAATAGTACCAATACTTACAGAACAGAAATGCAAATACTTTTTGTTTTCTAAAGTACTGATGATTGAACTGAAGGGTGTTCTACCACTAACGTACATCCTCAGCCCTTTTTGAGACATGGTCTTGTTAAATTGCCTAGGCTGGCCTCAAACTTGTGATCCTCCTGTGTCAGCTATCGTTAAAAGGCTTCACTGTGGTGGCGTAAATGGTACCGATACAGAAATGGTCTCCTGTCCTCTGCCTTCTTTTCTTTGGGTCTTCTCTTCCTTCCTCTCATTTCCTCTAGTGTCTATTCTCCTCTTTCAGTATCTTCCTCTCAATCTCTCTTCCCTCTGAGGCCCCTGCTGCCCCAATAACCAATGCCTAATGTGGCAATGAAGAAATGATTCTCCCTCCAACTTGCTGTAGAATGTTCCCAAATTCCCTGGGATGAGGGAAACAGTGAAGCTGCAAAGGATCTTTCTGAAGTAGATCGTGCTTTTGTACTCAAAACTCCCCCAAATGCAAGTACTTATAACTAGAATTTGTGGAGTAATAAAAATCATGGGGGTAGGGTCACATCTTTCCTTTTTCAGCTTCGAAAGTGGCGTTTCTTCAGTTTTTAAATGAAATTTCTGTGTCAAGAAATATAGAGGAAAGTACTTCAGGAAACCAAGCTATCTTTGTCCTCCTCTGCTAAGAAATGACAGGATGTATAGAGGGATCACTAAAGACTCAGGCAATTTGATTTACTGCCCAAGTAATATCCCTACCCCCATAACCTCATTGTGTGAGTTCTCTGCAGATATTGTGGGGTGGGGGAGGTTCTGTTCCTTTGTGATTTATTCCACCTGCTGGAATATATTAAGAAACTATTAGAAAAGACAAACTAAGACTAGACATAAAAAGGAAGTGATCAACCAGAATCAGGTCTTCCAATATTTAACTTCTGAAATCTAGTTATGTGTAAATTACCACCATTAGCGGAAACAAATTGCATATCACCCAGTTCCTTGCATTTGCTTTTCCCAAGAATAATCACTAAGAAAATCATCTATATGTCATGTGATTTCATGGAAGCAAATCAGACTTTCTGAATTTAGGCCTGATTCTGCTATCAATTGACTGTGTGACCCTGCTCAAATTGCTTCTCCTCTCTGGGTCTTGATTCTTCATCTGAAAATGAGAGAGTTAGATTATCATATCACTGTGGTCTCTTACAACCAGGTCACCAGGGACCATCCAGAAATAGATTAGAAGAATTCAGTGGAAAAGGAAAAAGGAAAGTTATTCCAATCCTGAATCCCAGGTCAAGTGTAGCTCCCAAAGAGACAAAAGATGCTCCAAAATGTTGGTCTTTCATAGGAACTGATTTTGTTCCTCCTGGCCCTTGGAGAAAGACATAAACCCTCTCTGTAAATAGCCAATGGTGTAAATGAAAAGTCAGAAAGTGCTGACACTGAGTAGGTGAACAGAGTACTCAAACTCTCCAATAGTATTGCTTATTGAACAATGTCCAACATTTCCAAAGAGTAAACAAAATGGGAGTTAGAAAATGAAAATAACAATACAGTTTGTTCAGAAAGCTGAATTCTGAACAGTTTGGAAGAGAAGAAAGTTGCAAATTAGAGTCTGAAAAAAGCAAAGTAGTCTCAATGACCCCTCCCCCAACCATTTAAGCCATATTTTTTTACCTATTTCATATAATTTTATTTATTTATTTATTTATTCATTCATTCATTAATTCATTGTTTTTTTTAGTTATACATGACAGTAGAATCTATTTTCACATAATTATAAAAGCATGGAATATATCTTGTTCTAATTCAGTCCCTACTACCTCTTCCTCACCACCCCCTACTCTTTTCCCTCTACTGATCTTTCTGCCATTTACCATAATTTTTCTGTAGATGTACACAATGGTGAGATTCACTGTGATATATTCATGTAGGTACATAGGAAAGTTAAGTCAGATTCATTTCACTTTCTTTTCCCCAACTTCCCTCCCTTCCCTTCATTCCTCTTTGTCTAACCCACTCAACTTCTATCTGCTCCCCATTGTATGTTAGCATCTGTATATCAGTGAAAACATTCAACCTTTGTTTTGAGGCAACTGTTTAACTGTATACGTTTTTACATATTTTTAGTTGTAGATGGATACAATATCTTTGTTATATTTATTTATTTATGTATGTGGTGCTGAGGATCAAACTTGATGCCTCACCCATGTGAGGTGAGCGCTCAACCACTGAGCTACAACCCCAGCCCTGTTTAGCCATATTTTACAGAGGAAAAAAACTGAGGCAGATGGAGCTGGAGATTCTGGCCAAATTATAGCTCTGAGTCTCAGACTCTCAGGTAAGCCCTTTCAGCAGACCATGACCTCTCTAGAAGCAGGTGTATCCAAGTGGTTTGGTTCCCAAAACAAAAGAACATTATACCTTGAGCTCTGTTCTTCCCTGAAACTCAACTTCATAGCCCTCACTCAGAGGTTGAAGAATTGAAACAATGCTGAGACTGACATGAATATGGTAAGCCAGAAAAGAAAGAGAGGCGTGACTTTGGCTGCTTTCTCATTGATAAAATCACTGATAAATTCTTGATTTAATAAATGACCCCACTTCAAAGTGTACTAGATCCTAAGCAAAGTCCTGAGAGAGAGCTTTTGTTAAGGTTGCACAGGAGGAGGAGGTGGAATGATGGCCTTCTCCCCAGGCCCAAATAAGGCGTTAGCTGTAGCACCTATCAACCTCCTAGACACCATTTCAGATGAAAGGCCATGCAATAGAAAGGTGTTAATTTAACTTGAAGATGGAAAGACCAGCAACCACCACTGTGCTCTCAACTGAAACGTGACCTCCTCTGAGGGAATTTTGTCTTCAGTAGGTTCTCTCGTATGCTGCTCCTAGAGCTGAACTTCCAAACTTTATATACTAATGTAATACTACTTAAGAGACAAAAAACTGTACAAAGAGACAAAAACTCATGCATATTTACAATTATATCTCAATTTTGCTGTACTTAAACATCAATGAGATATATCCCCAGACCTCTGTCAACAAAAATTTTATGGATACTGGACATTAATGTCTGCTCTTTAGGTGGGTGTCTCTAGCTGTGTACCCACAAGAATGTATTATTTTCCAATAAACATGGGATAAGAACTTTACCTGGGGAACTACCACTTTAAAATAAATTTAGAACCTAAGTGCATAAGTCTAATTCTTTAACGAACAATAATGAACTATAACTATTTCCTTATTTTTTTTTCTGTTTTCTGGTGCTGGGTATTGAACTCAGATGCTCTTAATCCCTGAGCCACATCCCCAGCCCTATTTTTTATTTTATTTAGAGACAAGTGTTCACTGAGTTGCTTAGCACCTCACTATTGCTGAGGCTGGTTTTGAACTGGTGATCTTCCTGTCTCAGCCTCTCGAGCCGCTGGGATTACAGGTGTGTGCCATCATGCCTGTCTGAATAATCTCCTTCTTAACTGGGGTAAGATCCTTAGTCTTCCTGAAAACTGTCACATTATTGAGGTTGGGTCTTAAATAATCCAAAACTTGCTCTCACACATGCTTCAGAACCATTCTTTCAGAAGCTGATTACAATCTGAATGGGAAGGCATGACTGAAAGAACTGCAAGAAATTTTTACCATGTATGTTCATGATGATTTTCCTTCTCTTAACAGCCTAGTACTGTTGTTTACATGTTCCTCATTGACTAATGATGACCCAATGCCTCTGCTCAAAAGAGGTTGTCCTATTTCTGAAAACCACATGCCTGGCCAGTCTATCTCAGACCAAACTGTGCCATCACGCTAATATTCCATCTTCAGGGAGCTTTTAGCAGGGTGATCCTGCTGGTGGGGAAAAAGGGATGGCCAATTCTAACTACCAGTCAGTGATGTGGTAAGGAGAGTCATTCCAGGGCTAGGTGACTAGTCACTTCCACCCCAGAATCTCAGTGGATGCAACTGGATAAAAATGAAATATTGGTAAAATTGATTTTCTGTTAATCGACCTGTTACATGTCTTGGTTTCATATTCAATGTGAGGCTTGAGGTTACCTCTTTACAGATGTTCAGTCACTTGTGGAGCTTAATGCCGTATTCAGCTCACAGTCATTAGCTTTCAGAAAAGCACACTAAACAGCTCCTGTAGTGCAGAGATCACATGTGTACGTTTCTTTGTATCCCTCACAATACCTTCTTTGCATAGTCAGTACTTAATAAACACCTGCTGTGAGTGATTCGCTTCATTTTCTTCTTGCCTGTTCACTGGACAAGGTGCTGCTTAAATCTCAAAATTCAATTTCTGCTTTCAACTCTTTATTGGCAATGTGAAATGTGTGGAGTTTTCTGTAGTGCAGACCAGAATATGACTTCAGCCTTCTACAAGCTTACATCAGTCCAGCATACTGTGCCAAATCTGCATTGCGGTTCCATGATCAATTTCATTTCATCTTGGGTTGCACTGCAAGAGCAAAGTCATACGCAAAGTCATATTCACACAGTGGTTCCTGGATGACTACTTCCATGGCCTCTGCCATATCTGTAGAGTTTGAAGACTTTCCCAGATGTCAGAAAATTTATTCTGACAACAGCTTCTAAGTTCCGTGCTGCCTCCTTAATCATGGCTACACAGGATAGATTGACTAAGACTGGACCCATTGTGTAAGCCTGTTTCTGAACATGAGTGATGGGGAGTGGGGTCAGACAGGGCACCACCCACTGTGATATAGGCCACCATATCATCAGGGACTAGTTTGAGTATACTGCCAAAGTTGGGGAAGAGCTTATCTTGCCTAGTAGCTGCCAGAGCCAGGGCTCCTATGGGCTTAAATGGTTTCTTTCTTTTTAACATAAAATCCATGAAAACTGTATATAAAATTTAATGTTGTTCTCTATGCTTTTCCTATAACAGCATGAAAAATTACTTTGCTCAACCATGATATAGGTAAAAGGTACATTGTGTTTCTGACATTATCTCAGTAGTGGCAGTAAATAAACAAGAAAGGGTAGAGCCAGTATCTTGTCAGCAACAGACAAGTGGGATCATGGTTTACATAGTTTTATTCTCAAAGAAGGGAAGAAGACATGGAATCTTTGATATTATGCTTGTTTTGAAGAAGCTAAAGATTTTTACACAATATAGTTGGAATTAATTATTTCAGAATTCCAAGCTCCTTAGATTAAGGGATTATTGTTAGCTAAATTCTAGGGGTTATTTGATGAAGCCAGAACTCCTGGGGTCCTAACCAGTTCAAAAAGAGGACTAGAGCAGTGAATAGCAGCCAGCTGGGAGGCAGCTGGTTCCAGTGCGTCTTCACAAACTAGCTGAAAAACTGAAAATGTCACTCTCTTACCTAGTTCTTTTCTCAACATGACTCCCCCACACCCACTAGGCTGGCCAATTCTTTCCTTTACCCAAAAGACTTTTTTAAGTTGTTTTGATCAAATTGACTGGCTGTTTCAGTGCCACTTAGCTACAGCTTTATTTCTAGAACAAGAAAGGTACATGTTCAGGCCAACATCACCCCCTACTGGTTTGCTATTAGAGACCAGGAAAATGTGTGATAAATCTTCATCTTCTCAAATTATCTTTTATTTTTCTTTAAAACATTACAAAATCAAGTGCCCTGTTCTTCTTATCCTCTCCTGAAAAAGAATAATTTCCCAAAAGTAGATGCTACTATTCCACCCATCCATCCATAGATACTCACATAACCCTGTTGATTCCATCTGAGAAGCTGTGTTCATGGTGTCTCCAAACAAGCAGTATCTGGGAAGAGTGAGACCCGTCACTCCATCAACAACCGGCCTTAAAGAGTAGCAGGAGGGATTACAGTCAAAAGAATGCACTTGATGCTAATGGAAGGGTGAGGAATGTAGTTTTGTGAAAGAACGAAAGTTGCTATCAAATAGCTCTGGGAAACTGAAGAAAGACTTATAATTGAATAAAAAAACCTCTTTGCTCTACGAGAGAGCAAGTTTATAATGATGCATACATGACTACCTTTCTGATTTATACCTGTAACAGTTGCACCCAAGATGCTTATATCTGTCAACAGGACAAATATGCTTCAACACCAAACCAGAAAAGACTGCACAGGGACTCAAGATCCAAACGTGTTTATTGCAAAAAAAAAAAAAAAGTGACTCTTTCTTGTGCCTTAGGGTTAGAAGTATCTCATAGATCTACCTGTGCCTAAAACTCTACTAGGAGAAATATTGTTAACAGAGTTGGAAAATTTGAAAACAAGTAGAACTGACTTTCAATTATCGGTGTTAGGGTATAGAAGAGCACTATGTATAGATAATCCAAGGATATTTTCTATTTGCCCTTTGAAAGATTTTTCTTCTCACATTTTAATATGGCTATAGTAGCTATTCAGGGTAACTGAAAGAACTTAGCAGCTATACTGAAAAGTCAGTTCATTAGTATCTAGAAATTTCCCAACCTTTACCTTTCTGGTCTCTGCTATTTCTATTTAAATTTTTCAGCATTATATTTTTGATGTTTCCTGAGTTAGAAAATAATTATGTGTTTTGCTTCAAAAGTTTCTTTTCTCTGAGAATAAAAATAAGAAATATTTTTTAAATTCCCATTTTAATTCACTTCTTAATCAGAAACATCCACTGTGCATTGAGCTAGGCATCAAAGGGGAGTACAAAAATGTAATACATAGTCTCAGTTCTCTAGGAGTATTAAATCTAACTGAAGGAATGAAACTATCAAACAGGAAGCAATTAAGCAACAACACAAGACATGTATGGTTGAAGCAAGATAAATAGTACAGATAGAAGGCTATAACAATTTAGAAAATGTGGGGAGGTGCTTATTAGGACCTGACTCAATCAAGAAGGAGTCAATGGAGAAGGTAAGATTTGATTTGGGTCTTGATGGTGGGTAGAATTTTGAATAGGCAAAAAGGGACATAAATCAAAGGCTTGAGGTTGGGATTGAGCATGTATGTAATTTGGGGAAGCAGTCTACCAGTTCATGCAGCTGGGGAGAAATTGGAGATAAGATTGTATTAAGGTTGTACAAGATGGAGGACCTTCAATCACTAGAGAATTTTGAACAAGAATTTATATAATAAAAATTATTTTTCCTTTTTTATCTCTCAAATCAGTGTATAGAATGCATTGTAAAAGGAAAACCTATTAAATGGCTATTGTAGTAATCCAAGAAGGTGGTACTGGAAAGGTGATGATGGGAAGTAGATGGTCAAAAGGGGTGAGAAAAGAAAGACATTATGAAAGAACAATCAGCAGACTTGTTGGCTGTCCAATTGATGATCAACAGAAAATTGGCAAGGGCTTATGGGTTAATGTTGGCTTGAGGAAAAGATGATTTGGAGTTAAATTTGGAATTAAGTATGTTAAATTTGAAATAATGGCAAATTATCCAAACAGAGGTATACTGAAGTGGTGGGTAGAGATAGGAAACTGGAATACAAATGAGAGATGAGAGGTAGTCTTTGAAAGAAAAATCCTGAATGCCTCCTATATACTAAGCACTCATGACACACACATGAATAAGATACAGTTCTTACCTCCAAAAACTTAAAGTCTAAAAAAAAAAAGACAAAAAACAGATTATGCTGATTAATATGAGAAGGATGGATGGAAAGAGGCAAACTTGGAAGAAAAACGATGTTACTGCAGTAATCCAGACAAAATATGCTGGTGGCCTATATTTGGAAACTGAGAGTCAAGGAGAGGAAAGATAGACCCAATAAATTTTTAAAAGGTAAAATGTTCAAAATTTAGCAATTGGTTAAATGTCAAAGGTCAGAGTAAGGGAGGAGTTATTATGATATTAAAAATCAACTGGAGTAATTGAGTCAATAGTGGTAACACCAACTGAAATAGAGAATACAGAAAAAGGAAGAAGTTTGTAGAGAAAGGGAATATTTCTGTATTAGACATGTTGAGTCAAATTTCCACCTGAATATCCCATGTGGAATATTCAGGTGGAAACCTCAGCAGAAAGCTTGATATACAAAGGCTGAAACTCAAGGGAGAAGATTGTCCTGAAGATGTGTAATTAAATGCCATCTGCCTACAAGTGGTAGTTAAAACATAGACAAGAATGAAATAACCCAGAGTAGTATGGAGAGGGAAAAATAGCGGATCAGGACAGAATCCTGGGGAACATTATTATTTAAGAGACAGTTAGAGACAAGAGGAATTATCAGACAGTGGTAGAAAATGAAAGCCAGGTTGGAATGGTAGAATATGAAAGCCTGGCTCCCTGGTTGGACCAGGTTGAGAAATAAATTAGGTGAGAACATGCAATAAAGCTTCTGCAGAAAATGGTTAAAAAAGAAAAGAAAAGAAAAGGAAAAGAAAAGAAAAGAAAAGAAAAGCTAAGAAAACCAGTATACCAAGTGGAAAAGCAACTGTTGGACAGTGGGGAGCAAATCATGATAGCCAATTGAAAGAAGTTTTAGGGTGGATTGTCATGAATGCCAAATGCTACAGACAGGTAAGAGCAGACAAAGATTGGGGAAAATGGTGAGGGCTGAAGCCAGATTGCAAAAGGGTTAAGGGGGAGTGGATAGCCTCTTCACTATGGCATTGTGTCATTCATTCTTTCAAGAAGTTTGATACAAAAGAGATGAAAAGGATGAGGGAAGAAAAGGAGCCTAGAAGAGCAGATCAAAGAGAAAGAGGTGAGGAATGCGGAGGCTACCAGGAGGGGCTAGTAGGTGAGATATCTGTGACATCAAGTGAGATGTCTCTCAATATACCGGAATGTGTGAAGTGAAACAGGAAGGATACAGTAAAGGGGGAGAACTTGAAAATGTCCAAGCAAGAAGGAATGAGTGTGGGGGAAAATACTTCAGGAGTTGAGATATCTGTCAATTAAACAAATTATCCTAAATACAGTATACTTGGTGATCTTGTAGCACAGTCAAACAAGAAACCATTGGTTCTAACTCAGAAAGGCAGACTTAAATAGTTTAATAGCTAAAAGAGGGCTGCTGTTCACTGTGGTGCAGGAGCTGGGAAGAAGGTACACTTGGGTACGCATAAAGGAATTTTGCAGCCCTGGACACCTCAATAATTCAGCCACCAGGAATCAGGGAAGAACTACCTTTTTACCTTCCTTTTCTAGTCTTTCTTAAGGTACATGGGGAATGTTTCATCTTACTTAAACTGGTTGTTGTTACCTGAGTGCAGGCCCATTGAATTTGAACTGGTACTTCTGGCACAGGCTGCATCTTGAAGGTGCCCATGTAGCTCAGGATATGCAGGGACATATTTTCAATCTCAGCTGCATGCCTGCTGCCATTCCTTTTTGGGAAGCCTGACTGAGACCACCATCTAAACACTTCCAATGGTCTCTACCTGGGAATCAGGGAAAGTAGAATTAGCAATTAACCTCTTTGTGTTTCTTTTTTTGTTTTGTTTTGTTTTCACTGTGTCGGGGATAGGATGGCGGTCACATGATCTTCTTCTATAGTGAGAAAGTCAGAGGAAGGCTATCAGCAGTTTATGGGTCTGATTGTACATTAGAATCCCTTAAGGATTTTTCTTTAAAAACTACAGATGTCTGGGCACCCCACCCAGAGATTCTGAAATAAGTGTAGTTATTTCACAGGCTCCTGAATGACCTTAAAGAAATATCAGGCTGCAAGGAATTTGGAGAGAAGGGAAAGGGGATATTTCTAGGACTTTCTGTAGGATGTCCCAGGGGGAGCACCCAAGGAGAAGCTGCCTAAGATACTCCCCCAGCAGGCATATCTATAGATAACTTTGGGTAAATGAACTAGAGCAGGCTAGGGAAAGGGAGGACAAGGAAGAATCTATTCCCTCTGGTTTCTGTATTACTTCTAAAATATGATGAAATTAGTTTTTCATACTAATTGAGAATAAGAACTGGTCCTTTTCCCACCAGTCACCTCCTTCTTTCCTACTGCTACCTCCATGAGGGGCAGCAATACTGGCCCACAACTGATCCATATGGGCCAGTTAAGGATGAACATTTACAAATAAAAGCAAATTTGTGCTCCTCATCTTCTCCATAGAAGTGTGCTCATTCTTTTGGACAACCAGTAAATTGAAGCTTTTCAGGTAATTCAAAAGGTGAGTAAGCTGAAAGGCCAGTTGGGCTGGGCTACTATGGGACTGGATCTAGTTACAATCTGTTTTCCTAGAGGACTACACTTACAGGATGCAATAGTTAAGAGCATGAAACTCTCTCATACTGCCTTGACTAGAATCCCAGATTCACCACTTACAAACCTGAGGCAAGTCACTTAATCTGTGAGCTTCAGTATCCTCATCTGTAAAATAGGAATAATGATAACACTGGCCTCATAGTGTTTTCTAAGGACTAAATAGTATGTCAAAACACTTAATGTAAGCTATCACCATCATCATCATCATCACCAAAAGTCATGTCTCGAAACCAGCCTATGATTAGGCTGCAGAGAAAGTTTAGTAATCAGCAATGGGCTCTCATCATGACTTTCTATATAGCCAATAACAATGATCCTTTTCACATCTAGGGCTTTGTCTCTCAGCATGCTTCCATCCAGGGTCTCCATAACCTGGTATGGTTTGAGGAAAGGATTCCTGTCCCCAAATAGGCATGATTGCCTGCACAGAGTTGCATAAATGCTATATGGGATTGGAAACTCAGCGGTTGGCCATTACCAGAGCCTGATAGTTGACCCTTTAGCTTTGATAAGTCAGTTACCAGGAAGCCCCAAGGATATTTATGAGGGGTCTAGAAGAGCAGGGAGCCTGGGCACTGCTGGGCCTTGGCATGTCGATTTGTATGAGGAATTACAGATTGCATCAGCTAGCATAAGGACACTGAAAGGGAAGGGAAGGTATAGAAAAGGGTCTGATTCAGATGGAGGTGGTGGCAGGAGAACTGAAAGTGAAAACAAATCACCAATGCCATAATTCTGATGTAGCCTTCTCACTTCCCTTTCAGATTATCAAGTGCCAGGGGAGGTGATTCCAATTTTACAGGTAAGGAAAATGAAAATACAAACGGGTTTGGTGATTCACTGCTGGTTCAATTTTTATTTCCTTTGCACAGTGTTGTTTTTAATAAACAGGACTGAAAAATTAGATTCCATTTTTGGATTCATATAGCCCTGCTCTGTCCTGGGAGCAGCCCACTAATTCCCTACTGCAGCCAAGTCCAAAAATAATTAATGGTCTCATCTCAAAGACCCCCAACAATTGTCTGAACAGAATCAGCTGGATTGATTAAACTAGTGGCTGTGTTACTGCCCACGCTGAATCATCTTTGATTTTAGTTTCAACTGAATTAGCTTTCAGTGATTTGTTTTTCTCTTCAGGCTGCTTGAGTTCAACAAGTTAAGACAGGTAGTCTGATTCCATGGATTTTTTTTCCACCGTGGTTTCCATGTGTGCTTCTTGATTAGCTTGCAGCTCCTGTTGATTGACAGGTATGATGTCTATTTCTGAGCCCTATTTAGGTGGTTTGGCCTAGCCCTGAGGCTTTCTACCTGACCTGAAAGGGCCCTGTCTAATCTGAGATAAACACACTGCCCTGTGATTTGAGAGCTGGAACATTTCAGACTACTGTGAAGGATCCAATGAATGGAGCTACTCATTCTCCAGCTCTACCTTGGTTCCTGGGACAGGGGAGCTGTCTAAATTCTGGGAAGCCTGGGGCATCTCTCTCCATCAATAAGACAAGTATCCATGTTGCAGACAACATAGAAATATCCCTGCACAGCTATGATACCTTTAGTCATTTTTTGCCTAGAACAAAACAACATATAAAAACAAGGGTAAGGAAACTGCACCAAAATGAATGAATGTTCTGCAACCTTTGACAGAGAAAGTGGAAACTTATAGGCTAGGGGAGTAGGAGAAGATAGAATCAGAGGCTTACAACCTTACAATTAGTCACTTCCCCAGACTTCAGACCAATAGGTAGGCTTTGGGTTACTCTGTAGCAATCCCAAAGTCTTGGGTCTAATAGCTCCCTGGTGTAATGCCAAGTTCCTTCCTGTTTAAAAACAGTACCTAAAGGAAGAGACCAGATTTTCATAGCATGTATTAGAAGTGCACAAATGTTACCAGGATGAACTGTTGCAGCCATTACTACGGGCAAAACAACAGTATTTCTGTGTCCTCTTCAGTGCCCAGAATAACATTGACTGCACTATGGGAACTCAGCCACTGAAGCGCAGTAGCTCTCAGCCTTAACCTCTTCTTAGTCCCAGTTCTAGAAAACAGATAAAAAGGAATCTGTCCAGCAATGTCTCTTTTTATTCTTTTTTTTTTTTAGTTGTAGATGGACACAAAACCTTTACTTTTTTATTTATTAATTTATTTTTATGTGGTGCTGAGCCTCACGTGTGCTAGGCAGATGGTGCTACCACTTGAGCTACAGCCCCAGCCCTGTCTGGCAATCTCTTTCTGGATTGATAGTTGTTATTTTGTGAAGTGGGAAATGACATGTATTATGTTTGACCTCCATTTCCAAAGGAAAACCAATAGAAGTGGTGTACCACTTAACTTTTTATTCTTAAAGAACAACATCCTGTGAAAAATGCATCCTTCAAATCTGAATACACACAGATGAGTTTCATATAAAAATCTTGTTCTCTATGTTAATTAATGTACCTATAGACATCATGACTGCCAATGACCATGTTGAAAAGTGTATACAGGTTGTTCAGAAGATCCACCATGTCAATGGGCTCACTCATGGCTGAGATGGTGGTGAAGCCCACAATGTCACTGAAGTACAAGTGACCAACTCAAAGGCATCAGGTTTGCCTGTGAAGGATTTTTTGAGGGATTCAGAGACTGATCTGAAAAGCAGACATAGCTATTCCTAAGAAGACATCAGCCTTCTTCTATACCATACACACCTGCTCAAACATGATTTCTCCAAAACTCACTGCCAAGTAAATGATAAGAAAGGAACTGTCACCTGAGTAAAAACACTAATTCCTTCACTTATTCTACAAATACATATCAAGTGCTTCTGATGTGCCAGGCACTGTGCAGGTGCTAGAGTATAGCACTGAACAGACAGACCTGCTCCAACTTGCCTTCATGGAATTTTTTTTCAGTTCTCAATACTGCTGCTTCAACTCCCCCATCCCAGGGAATGTTCCCAGGTGGTTGCCTTTCCATGAGACTAATTTCCCCAATTATCTCTAGAAGATCACGTTACAACATGATAAGATGCTTGGGAAATTTGGGAAATTGTAACAAAAAATGTTTTCAACTAAGGAAGAGAAAAACCCTGGAAAAAACAACCCTGCTACCTTCCTGTAGGAGCTCAAGGGAGCTTTCTTCTTTTAATTGGTCAACATCCTGGCAAAGTCACGAAGTGACATATAGAAAAACTGAGGCACCAAAAACTTAAATGACCAGTATGATCCACAGGTAGTGGAAAATTAGGATGTGTGCTCTGCTCCCTTGGTTTCCAATTCTACTTTGATTTAAAGGTGTGACTCAAACCCACTGGGAGTAGAGGGGGTGCAGGATAGGGGAGGGAGCAGTTAGTTGATGGGTAATTTCTTCTTCTTTTTTTAATAGAACACACTGTTATAAGGATTCACACTCCTCAGGTGTTCACACATACAGTGGTAGCATCTGTGTTAGAAGCTTTTCCGTTTTCTGGTTTTCAATTTCCAGGTCTCCAGTACATTCTTGGAATCTTCCAAGTTGCTAGAATATTGCTCCAATATCCAAAGGATTGAATCGATGATATTGGTTTTCTTCCCTCCATTGAAAATATTAAACTGAAAGTAAAAAAAGAAAGAGGAGTCAAGGAATGCTTATTCCCTAAACTCAGAGATGACGGAGCAGGCCCCCTTATCACAAATCCTTTCCTCTAAAATACCAGGGCAGGAGAGATGAGCCCTGATATAAATAGGAAAAGTCACTACCCACCTTCATTGTCACCCTTGCACATTCACAGGACTCTTTTCCCCCCAAGTCGTTTTCTCTACCCTTCTGGGTCTTTCAAGTCTAAATGAATGTGCTCTAGCCAGGCTCCTTCAGTTCTGAGATGCTATCACTAGAACAGTAGTCACTTTAAAGGCAACAGAATTTGGTCTTTGGCCCAGGCCAGTTGTGGATAAAGTAGGGGAAAGGAGGCAGAAGTGACCATTTACCCTTATAGATCATCCGCCTACTAAATTATACTTATCCTCAAATGCTTCTGTGTTGCCAGTGAATAGTGGAAGTTTCCCTGACCACTTAAAGAGTGTTTGAGTTCTACATGGTCATATCTACCCCTATTTCTTACCATGGGGTACAAGAACAATGGTGTCCCCTAATATCTGCCCTTCAGTTCTGTCAGAGTCATGTAGAAATTCAACTGCTCTTGCCTATCCTAGGCCCTGTGGCTACATGCCATAGATGTTCAATATACTGTCCTGGGTCTTTGTCCATCTCAAGAAACTTGGCCTAGCATTAAGATCAAGAGGGGTAGCTCCCTTGCTGTTATATTTAGCATGTACATAGCTCTGTTCACAACAATTAAAAAAAAAAACTGGTGGCAGTTTTGCTGAGCAAACTTCTAGGTCTCTGTTCCAATGAGTGTTGTTATAGATCTGGACTAAATGTGCTCCATGGCACACCCAATGCCTCAAGGTGAACACTAGGGATTTTCTTCCCTTCTATTTGTCCACCAAGGTCCTGGGGGTAACCTCAGCAGCCGCTTCAGATCCTTTGGGTTCTCCCTATTGCCTAACTTAGAGAAATGCTTCTCTTCTTAGAATTTTATTAACTGCAGAAAGTTGGGAGGCTAGTCTTATAGTCAGATAGACTAAATTTCCACTGAAGCATTTTAGTGAGGGTAGCTCCAGCAATGTCTTGTTTGAAAGTTGCATGATGCATACTCCTATCTATCACCAGCTTTTCTGTTGCCTTCTGAAATAACATCTCTAGCATCAACACAGGGCAAATGCTTTATCTCCTGCCTCATGGTAAGTTTTTAGAAATTTGACCTTAATGGTCCTTTGCTTTTTCCATACTATTGAACACCTGTTTGAGTGTCCTCAAGAAAGCCAGCCAGACTAATGGAGGCATTGTTAGCTGGGGACACGGATGACTTCATAAGCAGGGCCCCTCAGGCTTTCAATCCAACTCTTTCTCTTTTCCGCCTCAGATACCTGCCACTCATAAAGCATCTCAGTGCTGTACTCTAGCCAGGCTCAAAAACCTCTCTGTCAGAGCTGACAAGGCACTCTGGAGAGCACCCTCACTTTTGGTATCTTGTAATTTCAACAAAATTCTACACCGCATGCATCAACAGAAGATCCACACCCTAGATTCCTTAGTAGGGCTCATTCTGTTCGTTCCCCATCTTCCCTTCTGATTTTCAGTTTTAGAGAAAGAATTAACCTCTTTAGAAATTCAGTATCCAAAGGAAAGGGGTTATCACTTTTCATGTACCTATTGCCTTAAGTAGTTCTCTGGGAGACTAAGGAATCTCCTAATTTTGCATTCTCCATCTGCACATTCTCCCCTCTTGAACACCCTATCAAATTTTGCATATTCTTCCTGATCCTCCAAAACCAATTTGCCATGATATAAATGATATACTATCAGAGTTCCCTGAGATCTCCAAAGCAAACTCAGCTCTATGAAGAGCCCCATGCATTCTATCATATCAACTTCTGACAGTCTCAATGTCAATCTTTGCAAATGCCTGCTAGTTCAATTCCATTGTAGAAAGATTGGTTAGGCCAGATTGTGGATGACCTGAAAAAATATTCAGATACAGAAGTACACCAAAATCAGTCCATGGGCTCTTGGAGGATACAGTGGTGATGCCCTAGCACCAAGGACCTCAAAGTAGCCACTCTCAGGTTGCCAAGAGAAGTATCCTTTTCCCTTGCAAGTTTATTCCACAATGTGCTAAACACCCAATTGTTGCACTTGAGTAGGGTGGCTTTAAGACGGCTTGTGGGCAGTGGTGAGATTTAGAGAATCTTTTCTTGGTTAAATAGTTCATCAAAAGTTGGTCATTGTTCTACTACCTCAGCCCAGCACTGCTTCATGAAAGGCAAACATTCTGGAGGGGCATGCTCAGAAACTACTGGTCTGTACACAGAAGGAGGCTTGTTAAGCCTGTCTATGATTTCTGTCCAGATACAGGAAGAGAGAGGTTTACACATCATGGAAAAATTACCCAACAATCAACAGAGATAACTGAGCTTTAGGCAAGAAAGGGGTTTATCAGGAAAAAACACAGGATCATTTTCTTTGTTTTCTCCTTAGGGGACTTGAATATCAATTGTATCTGAGCAGAAGTCTGTATCAGACCTTTGGAAGGGGGTAAGAAATTAATCAATTGAATTATTGGTATCATTTAGACACAACTTTATCCTACTTCTACTAGGTTTTCTATGCAGCTTACCTGATGTCAATTCCAATGCTTTGATAACCTGGTTTCCTTCATTCACACCCAAATCATCTAAAGCTTACCCACAAGAGACCCAGATAATTCTCCCTGCAAGCTCAGGTCTACCACAAGTCTGGGCTTTGGGATCTGACTGGCCTCTAGGCAAAGGGAACTAAGAATAGCAGTAAACAGCTGAGGGCTTTATCAAGCCCCTCCTGGTTGATGATCAATGAAGGCCACTTCCAACAGAATATTTACTATATATCAGACTATGGGTTGAAGACTTTGCATGCATTATTCTTTGGCTTCTCACTACAAACAGATGTGGCAATTTCCCCAAAGTCACATGACTAGTAAGTGACAGATTCAAATATGAACATAGGCAATCTCAATCTACCACTGCGTCCAGACACTTAGGGCCTCAATTGGGTCCCTATTCAAACCCAAAAGCCATTGGTGACCAAAGGTCTGGATCACCCAGACTGACCTTTATACAAAAGGAAAAAGCTCACTCCCTGGAAGCAGGAGAAAATCCTTAGCTCTTAATGTCCCCATCAAGCCACACTGGGCTTCGTTGACTTCAGTTTACAGCCTAGACACTTCCAAACCATTCCTAAAACATGAATCTGGCAATATCACTGTCTCATTATCTGCAAAATAAAAATCCAGGCTCTTTAACATGGCCCCTGACTACATCTTTGGGCTCATTTCTCATCCTCAGTCCCCTCCCCACCCACAAACTCTTAACCTTTGCTTCATGAACCAAACCTTGCTTGGCCCACCAGTGTGCCCTTCCCACTCCTACATAGGCTATAACAAAATCAAACCCTGATAAGTGCCCCTTGTCTCCATGAAAAAAGTTCAACTCTTACCTCTAATTTCTCATCTCCTTATGACATCACACCTTCTCTTTCTCCTAGAGTAGCCCGTGTTGCATCTTGTGGTCAATGCAATAGAGTCATGGGAACAAACCCCTTGGAATGCTTATTCCCCATCTACTCTCTGTTAGAGGGAGTCCTAGTCCCTGTCTCAGAACACGATCCAGTTGAATGGGTCACCTATCTCCTTAGGCCCAGTGTGATTCATGCCCTCGAGGATCTCATAGTCCAATTGAGTTAAACAAAGACAAAGAAAACAAAGATGTAGCAGAGAGATGTACAGGTAAACACAGAGGGGGTTCCGGATCCACAGTGAAGAAGTCAAGGAAGCCTTCCCAGAGGAGTTGGCACAAGTTGGAGAAAGCAAGATGGGGGCAGGGGGAGATGAAGGAATTCCAAGTACTGTAAACAGCATGTATAAAGGCACAGAGGTAGGAGAGACCATGAGATTTTCAGGGCACTGCCAGGCATGTGGTTTAGTTGGAATGGGGGAAATAACAGAAGATAAGCCTAGAGAAGTAGAAAATGGATGGTATTAGAGGCTTCTGTATGTTGCATGAGGAACCAAGGTTTCATTTAATAAGTTATGAGTAACATTTGGGGTACTTTAAGTACACGACTGATGTGAGACCCTGAGAGTAGCAAAAGATAGCTAAGTGACTTTTTTTCCTTTTTAAAATCTTTTATTTTAAGAATAAATTTAGACTTTTTAAAAAGTTGCAAAAATAATACAGTTGCCTGCATACCCTTCACTTAGTTTACCCAAATGTTAGTAACTTATATAACCATAGTACAAAGGAAATTAGCATGTGTCCAACACCTTATAGGGTCCTTATTTGAATTTCATCAGTGTTCCCTAATGTCCTTTTTTTAAAATTTCAAAATTCCAGACCTCATGCTGTATGTAATTGCTCTTTCTTGGTTTTCTCCACTTTGTGACCTTTCCTCATTTTTTTTCCCTATCTTAGACACTTTTGATGAGTTCTGGACAGTTATTTTGTAAAATGTATCTCAATTGGAGTTTGTCTGAAATTATCTCATGATTAAATTGAGGTTATGAAATTTTTTTTGGCAAGAAAAATTCTCCCTCAGAGGTAATGTTTGTGCCCTTCGTAGAGCATCATGCCCGGTCTACGTGTTGTTGATGTGTCTTATTTCTGGTGATAGCAACTGAGAACACCTGGGTAAGGTGGTGTCTGCAGGATCCTGCATTTGTAAACTTACTATTTTTCCATTTGTAATGAGTATTTATCTTGTGGGTTCATGCTTTGAGAATATACAGATATCCTGTTTCTCTTCAAATTTTCACCCACTGATTTTACTATCCACTGATGGATTTTGCCTCATAGCCATGTGTTTTAAATGGGTGATGAGAATGAAAACCTGTGTTATGTCACAGTGAAAGATCAACATCCAGAGGCATCATGAGTAGTGCTGAAACCTTGGCAAGAAGTGATTCAAAGGAGTAGAGGGGACTGGAAAAGAGGACAAACGTATTGACATAGGTCCTGTAGGCCCTTGGCTTATGTCACAATTTGAAAAAGGAGTAGTTGCCTGGATGCCCCCATGGTTAGTGCAGATGCTTAAAGCCTTTTGGCTCTAGGTCCCACCTGCATACAACATGGGTTGCTTGCAGACTAACAGTCTGTCAGCACAAACGCTCTTCTGGCAAATCACAACAGCCTGGGTTGGCTTGATGATCGGGACACAGTGGGCCTATGGTACCTTTTTGTCACCTCCCACTTACCTTCAGCAGGCAGTTCCATCATGCAGAATGCGGTTCCCCTAATCATCACTTCTTGCATGATAATGACAAAGCTACAGACATCTCCTGTAAATCTGCTGCCACTCAGAGCTCTCAACAGTTCAGGGGCAGTCCACAGCAACTCTGCAAAGAAAGAATTGTGCAATGAATGTACGGAGGACTAACTGACACCTACAAGGCTCTCAAGGGCTGAGGGTGCTGTTTTATTGACTGCTCTATATTTTTATTATACAGACTGGCATGCAACCCCCCCAGTCTGAATCTATTAATCTAAGGAATTATGCACAGAGAAAACATACTACTCTCTCCACCCCAGGACTATGCAGAGAGACAGCAGAGGTGTGGGGAAGGGCAAGAAGCTTGCAGTAGACATTATCTGGTGCTTGCTTTCTTGCTCTCTTGAGCCTGCAAGTAGCAGTTGGCAGGTTTCCAGGGAAAGGCAAGTGCACTGCCAGACTGGTTGCCATGGATTTGCTGTTTGCTAAGATCTATATGTGTCTGGTAATTTGATTGTGCCAGGGCTCAGGGATTCACAAGTTGCTTTCTCCAGATCTTCTCTAAAAGGATTAGAGGATGCCCAGGCCTCCTCTGTTTCTTGCAGAGCAAAAAGGTACAACAGTTACTTTAACTCAGTTCTACAAATATTTATTGAGGGTCTAATATGTACCAGGCATTATGAGAAGTGAAGGGGCAGTACTAAAGATGAATCAGACCTTGTATTTGCCCTCGAGGTATTGAAAAACCAGTGGGCAAGACAGCCATGGGTGCCCCTAAATGTAATATGAGAGAGATAGTGATGACAACCACTATATCATACATGGTAATGATTCTATTAAAAGCAAAATTTGAATACCCACTGTATGCTCTGATGTATTTCAGGCCCCATGGGGGACAAAATATTATCTAAGGTTTCAGTGTCTATGACAATCAGAATGTCAGAAATTTTTATAGGGGGCAACGTAGGCAATATATACAGAAATATATTTTGATAATATAAACAGTAGTCAAATATTGTGAGGCTAAGTTTTGAGTTGAACCCTATAGAATTTTCACGACTGTGGGTTGAAAATGGCTGAATATCAGCAATTTCATCAGGTTCAAACTAATAAAAAATCGAGCAGACCAAATTAATCCAGGAAGGCTTCCTGGAAAAGTTAAGTCTTCTGTGCACTCATTAAGAAGGTCAAGGATGCAGCTTTCTGGAGCTGAGAGGGTAAGGGCTTTGCAGGGAGAAAGAACAGTATGTGCAAAAGAACAAGAGGCAGAAAGGAGCAAATTGTGGGTGGTAGGAGGGTGGTAAGCAGATTAGTTTGGCTGAAGAGAAGGGCTCTGTTAAGGAATAATGAGAAAGGAGAAATGGGGTTGATGAAGTGGGGGAGGGAGGGTGGCTTGAAGAATGGGGGCAGAAGGTGAGAGGCCCTGAGAGCCAAATGAAGGCATTTGGAATGAATACAAAAGGCAGTAGGGGTGCTGGAGCTGGAGAGGGATTTGATGAAAGCCTTGTTGGGAAGATTAATCTGGCAACCTGCACAAGTTGGATTGAAGGAGAGGCTGGAGTCAGGGAGACTAGCTAGGAAGTTATTGCAGTAGCTGAGGTGAAAGGGGCCTGAATGGGGGGTGGGGCAGCATTAGTAGGATGAGGAACCAAATATATTAGAAGGCTACAATGGCGAAGGAAGTGACAGGACTGGGGATGGGCTCACTGTGCTTTGTGAAGGGGAGGGAATTGAAGTAAACAGGTTGACATTCAGTTAGGGAGGCAGGAGAAGAATGGCTGCAAAGGGTGGGGGTGTCAGAGGGAAAGTGATGGCTAACTTTTCATCTTGTTAAATTTGTGATATAAGAAGGGAGCCCAGGGGGCAAGTTGCTATGAAGCAAGAAGGAGGATGAAAGGTCAGAGATGACTGTGGTTTGATAGTGAAATCCAGGAAAGAGAAATGCACCCTGGAAATTCTTATTTTCAGCCAACCCTCATCAAAATGATGGAACAAGAAATTCTAGCCTCATTCCTAATCATGTACCCATATTCTCTCTTTGCTCTCCAGGTGTCCCCAGCCTTTGTCCTTGTACCAGGCCCTATGGAAAGTCTCTGATTCACTCACCATGTTGGTTTTGTCCTGATGTCTCCCTGTCTCAGAGGACAGATATTTACAAGTGAAACCAAAAGATTGAATGATATGTTAGCCAAAGAAATACATTTCTGACTGTGGGATTTCAAGCATGATGGTTTTGGAAGGGAGGGCAGGGGTGGACATTTGAGAGCATGGAAAATGGTATATGGCTGCTTCTTCCTGGCATCCACTCTCTCTGCACATTTAAAAGCACAAGAAGGGAAAAGAGGGCAAAACTCTTTGGTAAAAAGCTAGGTGATTAAATACAATCATTACCAAACAGTATTTTCAGAGAGCACTGACATGTATGTTGTTAATGGCTAAAATGAGGCTTTATCTGCACTATACTTACATAGTCGAGAGTGGGTAATAATGAATACACTTACAACCCAACCCCATTTCCTCATCCCCACTCCAGAAACAAGTAAGAGCCACTAGCCACCATTAAACTTGAACCCTTAGGAAAACTAGAAAAATCACTTTGGATTTTTTTGTTTGTTTGTTTGGTTTTTGCACTAGCTGGAACCGGTACTATCTCTGAGTCTTGCTATGGTGATTAAATCACTCTGGAGAACCAGTGTGGTACAGTACAAAATAACACAGAACTGGGAGTAAGGAGACTTGGGTTCAAAACCTTAGCTTGGCCACTAATTATCTTACATTGCTGAACCTCAATTCTCCCATCTGCAAAATGGAAGTTGAGCCAGATGACCTGACATGTATGTTGTTCCAATTGAAGATTCTATTAGCCTTGTCACCTAAGGCAGGGAAGCAGTTCCTTTAGTTCATTTTATTTCGTTAATCCATAAATATTTATTCTGCCAGGTGCCATAAGTCACTCAGGAGGAGTCCCTCAGGAGGAAAACTTGTTTCTTGTTATCACATAGCTTATAGTTTGGGTGGGGGATGAGACGGCTAATTAAATGAGTAATACTAACAAACTATGGTATTACAACAAACTTCAGGATTCTAAAGATCACAAAGAAGACCAACTTAGCTGAGCAGAGGGAGTCATGGAAAACTTCTCAATGCAGTGGTATTTCAGCCCTATAGAAGTAGAATTTATTCAGACCCAGCTGGGTATATGACAGAGTGGGAAGGGAAGAATAGGCAGAGGGTATATCATGTGTAAAGAACTAGAAGTAAGGGAGAGCCTGGTATAAATAAACATCTGGAAGGAGTTCAGCGTGGCTGGAGCAAAGAGATGAAACAGGAGTAGCTAAGCAAGGCCCAGGCCAGGCAGGACCCATAAGGCATTTATGAACTTTATCCTAAGAGCAATGAGAAGCCATTCAATGGAGGTCAGCATAGCTGTAACATGATCAGATTTGCAGTTTATCAAGCTCCCTCTGACTGCAGTGTGAAGAACAGACTGCAATTTGGAGAGTGAAGTGAAATGAAAAGAGTGAGAGACAGTACACACACACACACACACACACACACACACACACACACACATGAGAGAGAGAGAGAGAGAGAGAGAGAGAGCGCAGGTATTCTTTACTTATTCTAAGACTGAATGTCCTTAAGCATGGAAGTTGCCAGGCTTGGATTAAATGGAACTCTAGGAAGCTAAGGATTGTGTTTTACCTTTATACATGACAAAATTTGACAGAAAGTTAAGTACTTGCTATCAACTACGTCAGAAACAGGAACATGTCCACAGAAAGAAACAGAGAGTGGCAAGATCACATGCCTTTCACTGTGATTATCAGGAGCATCAATCCTTCCAAAGCATGAATGGGCAGAAGAAAGAAAATTTAAGTTTTCATTTGACTGGATATAGGGGCTAGGATTCAGAAAGCCTGAATGGAAGTCCTAGAATGCTGCTAAGTAGCTGCATGATATGGGCAAATCACAAGCCTCCACTATCTCATCTAAAAAATTGAGATAGTTGAAATAGGAGTAGCTAAGCAAGGCCTAGACCAGGCAGGACCCATAACTTCCTGAACTTGTAAAGATGATTCCACCGAGAACTGGACTGTCCATCTCTATTTGTGCATGTGTTTCCCTTTGTGTCTTTTATTCTTTTTTCCTTTGTGCAGTACAGTCAGCAGTTTTAAAATTTATAATGCCATCTATTTATTTATTTTAATTGATGCATTATACCTAAAGTACAATTTGAATACATTATGGTATATTCATACATTCACCCAGTATAATTCTGTTAACTTTATTGCCCAGGTTTTTCCCTTTCCCTCTCTTCCTCCCTCTGCCTTGGTTCCTAAGAACAATATAGTACAGTAAGGGGATGGATCAGGGAGAAAGGGAGGGAATGGGGTAATACTGGGGATTCAAATAAAGAAAACTGTGTTGTATGCATTTACAAATATGTCAAAATGAACCCCATTATTATGTAAAACTATAATGCACTAATAAAATAAAACAAATTTATAATGCCAAAGAACATCTTATATGGTTTTATATTGTAATTTTGGAAATCCTCCTCTGTCTTCTTGAGTTTTCTGTTTCTATGCATTTCTGTGTCGTTCCCTCTCTTCTTCACCCTCACAATATAAGTTAAAACTTTTAATGTTCAAGTTTCCTATATGTATTTAACTGTTTTCATTTTCTCTTTTTCCTTTTCTTTCTCTCTCCCTCTTTTCTATCAGTTTGTTCCCTCCTCCCCTTCTCACCCCCACATCTTAGATTTCTCCTATTTCATTGATCTGTTGTGACCCCTACAGGCATTTCTTAGTGCTACCACTGGTGCAATGGACAGAAGACAAAACACAAAATGGACTACAGGCATACTTACTTAGTAGGCCATAATTCTATCTGAAGCCATCTCACATAACCCATGAAACATTTATTTGCTGGCGCCCCTCCTTGTTTCTTCCTCTGACAGACACAATACTGGTGTATTCTAGTGACATCCCATTCTAGAATGTACTCTGTAGGGGTCCAGCTTCCAAATTACCCTCCATTCAATCTGACAAGTATTTATTGAGCACCTACTGTGTGCTTAGCATTCAGCAAGATTCTCCAGGGACTGCTGGGGTCTCTGAACAATACAGCCTAATCCTGCCACAGCAGGAACTGAACATTATTGCACTGGCTTTGTTTGGAAGGCTAGGCCGGGCTGAGGTTACAGCATGCAGACTTCATTCAAGTCCTTTGGTTTGGAAATGAGGCTGGATTTTCAACAAAAGTGGGGAGTTGAAATGAGCCTGAGGCTTTAATTCAGTGCATATTTTCATTTGAGCTTTGTGGTTACTTTGTGTGCATCAGAAGGGTACAAATTCATTGCTTATCTTCTGCAGAAGGTTCCTCTTCAGAGAGTCTCAGCATTTCTAAGATGTCATTAAAGCCGTAATCTGTCACTTTTAACACAAACTGCCCATCTACCACACAGTTCTAAGACTTTAGCCTCCCATGAACAAACTCACTGTGGTGTAAGTACTTCATGCCCTGCAAATGATACAACAGAATTTATTTAGCAACTTATTTAACTATTTTGTGCTTTTAGAGCCACTTTCTGATATTGTTAATGGCATGAGCTATTATGATCCAGAATTCAGCTTGTTCTCTTAAATGCAGGCAAAACAAACCCTGACAAGGTGTTTAGGACCCTTCTAGCTCTAAAATGATAGGCTTTGATGAAGAATTATATTACGTGTATATGGAGAATTATGTGTTACTTGGAGATTTATTGACATTTCAGAAACAGGATGGAAACATAATTGCCAAGAATTTGGTGATTGTGATTTTCTCCAACAGGTCTAATGTAAGTCTCATCCATTATTGGCAACAGTGAAAACTGGTACAGCTTTTTGGGTGGACAATTTAGCAATAGCTATAAAATTTTAAACATACAAACCCTGTACTCCACAGTTTCTACTTCTCCTCCAGAGAAATTGTTGCATATATGCACAAAGGGACAGAGAGAAGAATGTTCATTCCACATTTGTTTTTATAATATTATATAATTAGAAATACACTAAATATCAATAAGGGATGGGCTACATTTATGTTACAATATTCTGCATTGCTTAAAACTGGCTGGGGTTGTGGCTCAGTGGTAGAGCTCTTTCCTAGTATGTGTGAGGCACTGGTTTCGATCCTCAGCACCACATATAAATAAGTAAAATAAAGGTCCATCAATGACTAAAAGAATATTTTAAAATAATTAAAATGAATAAGATAGATCTGTATGTGCTGACAGAACTCTACACCAAAGTGTAAGTGAAAAATAGTAATTTGCAGAAGTAAGTGGTAGCATACATATTTAAAAAAAACAAACAAAAATATCATCTGCAATGTAGGTAAATATATATAAAATGAATTACAAGTCCATTCACCAAATTGTTAGCAATAGCTAAATTTGGTGGGGGATATGAAGAAAAATGGTTGGGTAAATGTCAGTATTTTGTCATATATACTTATGCCATTTGATTTTGTGTTAATTTAATGTCACTTTGCAGTTAAAAATAGACAATAAAAAAGAAAATGAAAGCTTTGAATATCACTGATCTCTGTTCTTGCCTGGCAGCCTTTACATGACATTCAAATGGGATCTTTCAGGACTCTATCATATGGGTTTAACCATTCTGCATATAAATATATCCATATTCTACTTCATTCATTTCAGAACCATTTATGCTGAGAGTACTTTTAAGTATCTGGCTCTGTTTTTCAGCCTAACATCCCTTTGTATTTGAATGCTTCACATCTTGTGCTCTAAAAAAGTTTGCACTTTTCAGTACTTCCAAGTAGAGTCTACAATCAAAAGATATCCCTCAGGTTTCCTAAAGCTTGGGTTTCATTCATCACTGGCCTGAGAACACGGTCATTTAAAGGCCTCTCCCTTAAGCTACTTGGTTTTGCTTATAGAGTGAGTAAAAAGAATACTAGAATAGGTATTAGGAGATTTGGATTCTATTATCAGTTCTGCCATTTCATAGTTAACTGATACATATTTATTTAGTACCTACTATGTGTCTCAGACACTACATAGTAAAGCGTAGCTCATTTAGTTTTTCTTAGCCTCTATAAAAGAAGAATAATCACCCTATCTTAAAGAGAATGGAAGTGAGGTAATGTCTTCCCTTTCCATGCCCCCTTGAAAAGGTTTAGGCCATGATACAGAAATCAAGACTGTGATCAATATGCAGAAAGTTTGACAAGTAATTGATTATCCAGATCAACCCCACAAAATGCACATACACCCAATTTGCCTATCATTTCATTTAGTTAATGGATTCCAAAGAAGTCCATCTATGGTAAGCAAAGACTGAGTCACCGTTTGGAAGGTAAAAGCTAGAAGGTGATGCTAAGTAGCACCAAAGATTCTGGGAATGAGCACTTTCCCACATCCACAGAGAAAAGAGAAGTGGTATACATATAAAGTATATATATATATAAATATATATATATATTATATATATATTATATATAATTTATATATATATATAAACTTCCTATATGTCATCAAATATTCTTCTGCCATATATATAAAAAATGGTATACATATAAATTATATATACATATATAAATATATATATTTATATATGTATATATAATTTATATATATGTATGGTTTATATATAATTTATATGTATGTCATATATAAATTATATATATAATTTATATGTATACCATTTCTTTATATATATGGCAGAAGAGTACTTGATGACAAATAGGAAATAAAAAAAAAATAGTTGGTCCTCAAATTAAGGAGTGGGGCAGGTAAATATTGGCTGTATCAGTACCTTGTAACAAATATAAACAAGAGGACTGTGAAAAGACAGGAAGGAAGGTAAAAGAGTGGAATGATCACAGTGATCTGAGGAAAATAAAACAGCTCAAAATTTTTAAGTTTTAATCTATAAGGGAAATCCAAGATTTCATCAGTCTTTTAATTAACCTTGATGAGATCCAGTAGGAGTTTCACAATCTCATTTGTCAGTATGTCTTCTAAGCTCCTTTGGGGACAGAATTCACTAATAATGGCAAACATTCCCAAATCATGGAAGAAGCCCAATAAAGGGTTAATGTTCTCATGATGAAGAAACAGGAGGGAAAGAGAAGAGTCACAGCTGTCTTGTCTCATTTGGGGAACAGAATTATGGGCACATAACATTTTCTTCCTCATCCTGGTTGGTGGCTGTGGTAAGCAGAATTTTCACCCCATGAACTCTAACCCCTAGCCCTATTATGTGATTGTGTTATGCCATCTGGGCATAAAGTAGATTAACAGAGTGAAACTAACCGAATCACAATGAGCCCTTAAAAGGAGAAGAAGGGCTGGGGTTGTGGCTCAGTCGTATAGCACCTGCCTTGTACATGTTAGGCCCTGGGTTCAAACCTCAGCACCACATAAAAATAAATAAATAAAGATATTGTGTCCATCTGCAACTTAAAAAAAGAAAGATATTTTAAAAAGGAAAAGAGAAAGACCAAAGGAGCCAGAGGGATTCAACCTATTGGCACTCAGCCTGCCAATATTGACTTTAAGATGGAGAAAGGAGGCTATGAGCAAAGCAATTTGTACAGCCTCTACAAGATGGGAACAGGACTCAGCTGATGGTCAGTGAGAAAATGGGGACCTCAGTTCCAAAACTCTATTGAACTAAATTCTGCTGACAAGCTAACAAGCCTGGAGATGGGTTTTCCCCTTCAAGCATCTAGATAAGAACCCAGTGTAATTGACCCCTCAACTTCAAACTTGTAAGATGCTGAGCAAAATACCCAGCTGAGTCTGGCTACACTTCTGATCTACACAACTATGAGATAATAAATTGATGTTTTAAGCCACTAAGTTTGTGTTAACTTGTTACAGCAGCAATAGAAAAATGAATGCAATAGAGGGAAATTTCAGGCAGGAATTTCATTCAGCATACTTACTGGTAAATGCTGGAGCTGGGCCTCTCATCATGATTCCTCTGGGACTCTCTGAAATGGAGCTCGTGGATCCGAGAAAACTAAAGAGAGGTAGTGCAGTAAAAAGTATAATAAGTTGTCTTTCTATGAATACTTATCTACTCAGCACCTATTAAAATAATTTCCCTACATAAACATAAGTTTAGACCTTACAAAATTGTATCAGAAAAAAATCCCTCTAGAATTCTGTCTACATTTTCCCTTCATATTCATTTTCCCCCACTAATATAAGAAACATTTAGTGTGTGCTCACCATGTTGAAGACACAGAATGACATGCCAGACAAACAGAAATAAACAAAATGCAATCACTATCCTGAAAAAGCTGGCATTCAATGAGAGGTGACAGACAAATTATCTGACAATTGTATTTTACCATGAAATGTGTTCTGAAAGAAGAGGACATGGGATGCTGAGAGAGTTTAGATGTTCAATATCTAATTCAGCCTTGTGGGTCAGAGAAAGCTTCCCAGAGGAGGTAGAATCTTGACTAGACTGAAGGACAAGAAAAAAATTGACCATGTGAGAGTCACTTGATGAAGGGGTTAAGAGTGACAGCATGTTGTGTTGAAGAAACTGCAACAGGCCTAGCATGCCCACAAGAATGTGCAGAGGAGAGACCATGAAATAACTAGCTTCAGAAATGGATCTGAGCCACATCCCTTGGGACTTTGAGAACCATGCTATAAATTTTTTTATATATTTATATATTGAAATTATATTATAGGAACTCAGTGAGTGATTGTCATCTATTATTATTTCTATTAAAAGGCATATGAGAAAGAGAAAAATAAACTCCATAATCATATTCAGATTTCTACTTGGATTCGTGGGTAGTTGGTGGTGCTGTACATTAATACAAGGGATTCCAGGATAGTGTAGTAGTGGATGTTTGGTGCACTACCCATATCCCTTTTACTGTGCACTCCCTATGAGTTTTGGTTGATAACTCAGTTATCCCACTCTCAGAAAAAAAAAAAAAAACTGAGGGCCGAAACCAAAGGTAAGTCACTTTACCTTGGAGGTTAAGCCCATCCATAGATCTCAGGCAATGATTGGTTGTGGATAGTCCAAATGTCTAGTTATCTGGTTTCAAGGTGGGACTCATGATATAACGTGTGCTCCAGCATTTTCCCATGAGATCATACTGTCTGTAGTCTCCAGCTGAGATCAAATACTTACTTAGCTTTTACCTCTGCCATATCCTGCTTTCCTCACTCTTTTCCTATGAGAGTATTCTCTCAATAAGTAATCTGAACAAGAGTTTCCATCTTAAGCTCAGCTTTTAGGTAATCCAACCTAAGACAGATAGAAAAGCAAATTTCATGACGTGGAAGGCTATAGATTCAGTTTGGGACATTGAAAATGAGGTATCTGTCATAGCCTGTGAAATTGCTGATAATAAATAAACATAGACAAATTTAAAAAAAGAAAATGAGGTACCTGTAAAATATCAAGATGGATCTATTTGAGACAGTTGTATATTCAGGGTTTGGAATTCAAGAAAGAGGTCTGATCTGGATAAACAGACTTAGGAATTGTGAGAATATAAATGATATGTTAAATCAATGGGAATGAATGAAGTTATGCAAGGAAAGCATTTAGGAAAAAATAGAAAAGAAAAATGTATCAATATTTAAATGATAGAAAATTGAAAAGCAGCCTACATAAAAACCAAGAAGGGAGGCCAAAAGAAGTGGAGAAAAGTTTATTTACAGCAACAACCTTAACACTACAGGACAACTTTCAGTAAAGTGAGATAAATGCCAGAAAGAATTTCAGAAAAGTGTGACGAATACCAGAGAGGTCAGGTAATGTGAAGAAATGTATTTAGTGAATTGAATCATTGGGAAATTATTAATTGCTGAAACTCACTATGCAAATATGTTTACACACACACACTTCATACATGTATTGGCTCTCTGTATCCATGGGTTCTGCATCTGCATATTCAGTCAAGCACAGATCAAAAATGTTATAAAAATCTTTTTCTTGCAATTATAACCTAAATAATAAAGTGTAACTACTATTCACATAGTATTTTTTAATATTTTATTTTTTAGTTATAGGTGAACACAAAATCTTCATCTTATTTTTATGTGGTGCTGAGGATCAAACCCAGTGCCTCACGTATGCTAGGTGAGCGCTCTATCTCTGAGCCACAAGCCCAGACCACATAGTATTTACATTGTATTAGGTATTATAAATAGTTTAGAGATAATATAATATATGTGGGAGGATATGCATAGGTTGTATGAAAGATATCCCACTTTATATAAGGAATTTGAACATCCATGGGTTTTGTTACCTGAGGGGGTGTCCTGGAATCACTCCCCCATAGACACTGAGAGACAACTGTGTGTGTGTGTATGTGTGTGTGTGTATATGTGTGTATACCATCATGCAAGTGTGCATGTACACACACACACAGACTTAGAATAGTAGTAGTGTGAGTAAACAGAAAAAAAGCAGATATATTTTAGAGTTCTAAATCACATTACCTATTGTTGTGGGGAGTAAAGGAAAGAATTAAATCAAATATTATTCTATTTTGAGCATTGAGAGGATAGTGGGTCATTTATTGAGATAGTGTGCACCTGGGGACTTAAAACATGGGCTTGTTTTTTCCAACAAGATGACCCAAGTCAAGGTTAAATTACCCCTGGTGGAAATGGCAGCTAAAGATCAACAAAACTCCCTACTAAACACAAAAGTCTGACACCTATGACAATTCTCTTAGTCTACTATAACCTAAATTAATTAGGCAGACATGAAAACTCAGCCTACAGGTTGAAAATTGGTCACCTTCTTCTGACTTCATTCTCATTTGAACAAAGCAGCCAAAACTACTGGGTTCTGGACCTCCATCAGAAGCAAGAGTACAAAGTGGTTATGTCAGAGACTGCTAGCTACTCAGAACACATCTGCTTCTCTTTCTTGTTGGGCAAAGACAATCCACATTTACCAGCCTCTCTTGGAGCTAAGGATAGCCATATGACTGAATTCTAAGCAATGGAATCTAAGAGGAGGTAATATGTGACATTTCTAGGCTAAGGCTTTTAAGCAGCAAATACATTCCCTTCCACTTCTATGGCTAAATGCAGATTTTGACGAGGCCCTAAGATGGTCATAGACTCAGTTCCTGAATCACCATATTGGAGGAGAGTCTCCTGCCAACCAAGAATACCATTGTGTTATTATTTGAGTGAGAATTAAGCTTCTATTGTGTTTAAGACATTAAGGAGGTGGGAGTATAACTCAGTGGTAGAGCATGTGCTTAGCATTCACAAAAAGCCTTGGGTTAGATACGCTGCACCACACACACACACAAAATATTTGGGGAGTATGTTACAGCATCTATCATTACACCATCAGCCCAAATTTGGAAAATTGCAGGCCTAGGACCTTGCAAGATCTTTACAATCATCTTTCCTCAGCTATATCCATTAGAGAAAATCCTTCATAGGAAATAGGTAGATACTTCTATGCAAATATATCCCTACTAAGACTCTGGACAACCCTAGGATGCAGAAGATATTTGGAACACTTATTTGAGCAAGATAACCATTTATTGGGTAGACATGTAATTTACCACTTCCATAATACATACCATCAATGTGGCCACCATCAATGTTCAAAAAATAAAATCCTGTCTCCCAGGATTTTTGTTAGCCTCAAAATTGACATAAAACCTTTAAGCATACAAGCGTTGACACCTGCTCCTGATTCAAACATGGGCCTAGATTATCTTTAAGATTCCTTCGCCCCATTAAAAATGTTCCTGGAAGTCGGGCATGGTGGCATACATCTGTAATCCCAGTAGCTTAAGAGGCTGAGGCAGGAGGACCACAAGTTTGAGGCCAACCTCAGAAATTTAGCAAGGCTATAAGCAACTTAGCAAGACCTTGTCTCAAAATGAAAACATGTAAAGTACGGGGATGTAGTTCAGTGGTAAAGTGACTGTTTTAGTCAGCTTTTTTCACTGCTGTGACTAAAGGACCTAGACTGAACAAGTGTAGATAAGGAAAAGTTTATTTGGAGGCTTACAGTTTCAGAGGTTTCAATCCATAGACAGCCCTACTCCATTCCTCAGGGCTCAAAGTGAGGCTGAACATCATAGCAAGAGAAGG